AACAAGTTTATTAATTACCAAAATAACTTGTTTTGATAACTTATTATCTTGACATAATGTTCAGTTACAAGTTTATTAATTACAATTACAACATGTCACAAAGAAATACACATAAAGTTTTAAATATTTATTAGTCCAACAATAACAACAACCGTTTCATGGTCTAACCTTAACGCTAATAATCAATTAAATTAGTTAATCAAACGGTAGACCGAACTGGGCCCCATCAAAAAGAGGAACGTGCCACGTGCCATTTTGGGCCCGCTTCTTGAGCTGGCATTTCCCGTAGAAAGGAAACCCCCAATCTAATCGGTAGACCGTGTCTTGCAACGTGGCCTGGGCAAACTGTACGCACGTTGGCCAGAATTGCTGGAAGCATTGGTAGACCGGGTTTTGTTAGCCTCCTTGGGCCCGCAGGTTCTCCAAATCGCTATTTTTAAATAATTTAATTGATTACAAAGTTATAATCAATAAAAATTATTAATTAAAAAAATAAAAATATGTTAAATTATATTTAAATTTACATTTTAGTATAAATAATAAAATTTAAATCTCGCCCTACCTTCTTCATTAAATTAAAAAATATATATTTTTAAACTGTTAAACATGAACACTTGTTTTGGTAACTCAATATCTTGATTTAATGCTCTCTTAAAAGTTTATTAATTACGATTAGACAATGGCAATTGACACATTAAAAAAAGGAAATTAAGACTTTTAGTCTGTTATACATTTACTTGTGGCATGGTGGGTGAGAGTGTGGACAGATATTACCCATTGAGCTCATCTTTCGAGATATAGTGATTAAGGGTTTTAACAAATGAATTAACTCTTAAGTATTTGTTATTACTTAAGCTAGATAAAACTATTGTTGAGATGTTAGAAAAATGGGCTTTGCTCGTTTATTTAGGTCTTAAAGTCTTTCGTCACCAAATCTTCCCTAAAACTAGGAAAGCATCCATCACAAACTTACTTCTAACATGTGAATTTCGACACATATCAATATCTCTCAACTCTTCTATTTTCACTACTTAGAGTGTGATTCAGACTATCAAAATCTTACGGCATTTCTTAGTTTTACGCTAACTTACATTGACAAATTAGTTAGAAATTTCTTCAATGATATATTGACTCAAATGTAAATAATGATTTTTTTGGAAGTTTTTTGAAAAATTGGACATTTTGAATTGCTTAATTAAAGGGACTAAACTGAATTTGTGGAGTAATTTGATAATAAATAAAATGGTGAAATTTAAAATATATTTTTACTTATTATAAACAAAAATAAATGCATATTATACTCATTATTGACTTAAGAGTGAAAGTCAAACCCCGTTCCCAACCCCCTCCCCATCCCCATGACCTCATCCACTCTCGTATGAGGACTCCAAACTCCCCGCAGACATACTCCGCCATCACAACCATCAATCACAAGCGATCGCCAACCTCCCAACCATCCAACCGTTCATACCATATAACAATTACAGATGGACGGTAAGATCTGTTGGTTTGTGTTTTGTTATTCTGTTCCATCAATGCAGTAGGAGAACTGGCTGACGTTATCAAGATTCAACCTTTTTTCGTCCAACCACCACCCCCGTCGGTGCCCGCCACCTAGGCACCTACACCAATAGGGCTACTCGATCATACAAATTACTAAAATGCACCTTTCTCAGAACTGTAAATTCTCTGAAACACCCTCGCTCATTACAAAAATATCATCTTGTTTCCGCAGAAAATCTTCTAGGGATATCGCAGGTATTTGGGGATGGTGGAGGGTGGCGAAGGGGATAAAGTAATTTAGGAGAGAGCGGGAGAGAGAGACGGTGGTGGCTTATCGTCTACTTCCCCGGGCAGTTTGTACGGCTGATTTCTGTGGTGACCGGAGCAATTCGAGGGAGAAAGGTGCGAACTTTGGGCTGAGTTTTGAGTTTTCAGCGAGTTTTGTGGATTTTGTTTCATTATTAAATGACCGGGGTTTATGTGCTGCGATTTTGGTGCTTTCTTCTTATGGAATTTGCTTTGGTTTTGTTGGTGATGGATTTGAGAGAACTGATGGTTTCAGGATTGAGGGTGATGGTGGTGTCGCAGAAGGCGGGGGATTGTTTGGTTGGTGGGGTTTTTGTTAGGTAAAAAAGTTAAATTTTTGTGCTTGTTGGTGTTGGAATTGTGCTTTTGTGTTGGAGGAATGGCGAGCGAGCTTTCTGTGCAAGATGATAGACCCGCGCCGGCAGACTTTATGGTAGTTAGCCTTTTTGTTCCCTTTTTATGGTTCATCTATGAAATCAATTTGGCGGCTTCCTCCTAAGATATGTGAGTGTGGATGGAATTTTTATTGGGATGATGATGCTTTTGGGTTTTTTGATAAAGCTTTTATGCTGGTTGATGGGTGAATTTTAACTTAATGATATGGTTTGATGACCGATTTTCTTAAATTTCTATCTACTCTGAGCTTTTTTATGGTTGTTGGGTTCTGAATTCCTGAATATTGACTTTGTTTTCTTGCTTCTGGTGACAGATGGCCTATTTTCATTTTTTTTTTCTATTTAAAAGGGACAGTTTTGGGTTTTTTATGCTGAGATTGTTTGCCTGGACTGTGTAAAAAGTTTAATTTCTAAGCAATGAATGATGGAATGCTGTTTATTTTTAGCTGAAAATAGTTTTGATTTGCTTTTAAACAGTATGACTTTACTTTGCTTGATTTATTTTTGTTACAATTAGAATGTCTTTTAGTTTAATGAGTCACATTGCTTATGAGGAAAGTTAACGAGTTATATTGATGATGATTCTAATATTATAGAGGTCATACCAATCATATGCGCAGATTTTTCAACAATTTATAAGAATTGTGCTCTTTATTTTCTTGGAAGATTTACAACGATACCACTCAATTCTAATGTATTTTTACATATCTAACACCTTAACTTCAATTGTTTCATATATATAGCACCTTTCATATGCATAAAAAGGCGCATTTCGCCTTTTAAAAGTTAAAAAAGTGATATTTGTTATGTGATATGAATGATTCTGGTGGTTTAGATGTAAAAAGCAAATTTCAGGTGTTAGATATGATATACATAAATTATACAAACAACTTGATCTTAGCCAAACGAGCACACCTCTGGTTAGCAAAGTTTGAACCGAAAGAGAAATAAATTTTTGCCAGATAAATTAACGGTCAAACTCATTTACAACTTAAGATCTTAAGTTTATGGGTGAAGGTCAACCCCTTGGTATTTCTACATAAATATGTTTTTTAGCTTTCTAATTTAGGACTAAAGCTTAAGCCTCAAGTGTTTAAACCTGGATCTTTAAGACTAGTGGAATTTGTAGAGTTTTTAAAATAGAACTAGGTTGTTGTTAATCGGGGTTTATTGCTCTATATATAATAAGTGTGTGCATGTTTTGTCTGTGCAATGTAATAATTGTGTGTGTACGATAATTTAATATGAAGGATGGTTGAGAACTATGAAAAATATAATGTCATAAGGATGATATATGGATACGTCCTTATTTAGATAATCATGATATATATCAGTGATGATATTTCAAAAATAATGTCTATGCTTTATCTATATTTAAATCTGATGGGTATTGATGATAGGTATCATTATATTGTTTTTTTTATATAAGTATAATGTTTGCGTTGAGGATATGAATGTTGAATGAGATCATAGGTATCTTCATGCTGATAGAAGGGCATGCTTTTTTATATCTATTATCATAACTAAGAACATCATAAGCATCATGATATGAACCATAATGTTTGTGTGGATAATAACTTCTCTATTTCCATCATAATTATGATATTCTGCAATATCATCCTAATAATCATGATAATATAGACCCATAATAAGAAAATCATTTCATAGATATTTAAGGAGGGATAATTATAAGATAATATGATAATTATAAACCAAAGTCCCAAGAATTACAAGATAAAATCAAACATATTTAAAACCTGAATCATGATGAGTCCAAAAATAAATAAATCCTGCAATCTAATTTTAGCAGAAGTTAATCCTAAAAAAGGATAATTTCTATCTATTAATTAATTAAATTATAATCTTGTTGGAACTAAAACTAACTTCAAAGTATTGTCTAGCTTGATCTGAATGTATTTTTACTTGAATTTTGTAATGAGTCTGAGCTTGGGTCTTAGATATGGGACTTCGCTACATAACTCTCACATGGTATGATTGTAAAAATTTTGTGGTTTAAGAAATTGCAGATGCAGATCCACGCTTATTGGTTGCGTTTGTAAAATATTACTTGCGCCTAAGATTTGGATATGACTGCAGGCATTATTTTTGTTTTCGAAATGTAAATTTTATGTCAAACTTTTTAATTGCTATTGTCTTTATTGCAGTAGTACTGCTGTGAGCCATGGTCAGTCTAAGGAGACGAAGACTAATGGGACTATGTTCTGGTATAACTATCAACTTATCTGTCAATTAATCTAAATAAGCAATCATAAATAATATTTTAAATAAGTGAATGTATTTACATATCTTACTTTCCTCAGAGAATAATGAGTTATTTTTTCAGGGAAAAGCTCTATTCCAGTTGAGTTGACAAGCTCCACTGAGAATAATGGTGCTGTGAACCTTAACAGAAATGTAAATCCTTTCAGCATTCATCCCTTGCCATCAACTAGCTTAAATCATGAAAAGCAAGTAAGTTCAAATCTATATTTATTATTTTTAAGGAAGATTTACATACATATCACTCAATTTCTATGTGCAAGTAAGTTCAAATCTATATTTATTATTTTTAAGTAAGATTTACATACACATCACTCAATTTCTATGTATTTACATATCGAACACCTAAACTTCATTTTTTGCATACATATCACCTTACCTATGCATGAAAGGGTGTATTATACTTTTTATAAGTTAAAATGGCGGTATTTTTGATGTGATAAGAAAGATTTGGGTGGTATGAATGTGAATAAGCAAAGTTTAGGTGTTAGTTATTTTAATACGTAGGAATTAGGTGGTATGTTTGTAAATGCCCCTATCTTTTTTTATCAATCGTGCTATTTTTTTTTTTGGTGTCTTTGATATGTAAAAGTAAAACAATTGAAATGTTCTTGTGGGGAATCTCTTCTTTGATTAATGCATCCAAAAGGTTTTTTTCAAATGGAACAATAGCGGTGTTGATTTGGTGAATTTTATTGTTCCATTCTCTTCAAGTGTCAAATCTTGTTTCTACTTCCTGAGAAGTTGTAAAATAAAAATTGCAAAAAGAATAATGTAAAAATGGTTTCAAATGTTATCTTTTGTAGGTGTTTTAAATTTTTTTAACACTTTGATGTTATAAACTTATGCTTGAAATGGCGTATTTCACCTTTTAAAAAGTTAGTAAGAGTGGTATTTCTGATGTAATGTTAAAGATTTGGGTGCTATTATGTATGTAAATATGAAAGT